AGCTGAGAGTTGGAAAGATCCCTCTGGCATGATGGCTGAGAGCTTTCCATAGCTGCATCAGCATTAGACACGACATCTGCAGACATCAGCATCTCTGCCATCAATCTACAGCAGCCCTGTCAGTGACAGCTCACCTCTAACCAGGACAATTCTAGAAGACTTTTGATTGCTTTCCCAAACTCTGTAATAAGTAAAGTGATAACAGTTGTTCTACAGTACCTTCTGATGTGAGAAGTACTTACTGTAGCTTCCTTCTTGTGCTGCTGATTTAGTCTCTGCCTATTAAAATTATATGGGGATGGCACCACGTAACAGTCCTGTGTGAGAAAAACATTACATGTGAAGACAACATGTGCTGTAAAAACCTCAAATATATTCAAATACTTATCATATATATTGTTCCAAAGTGGAAAATAGTGCCTTAAAACCGCCAGCACACAAGAGGAAATGACAGTGACAAGAGTCAATTTATGACACAAATGCAAACTATATTCTTGATAAACATTGCAAGGAAGGAGAGAACACTTAAAATAAGATTATTATTATTTTTTGTAAGTATGCAAATTTCTTCCTGCTAAAGCAGAACATTTAAAATATAAAATAACCTAGATATAAAACAAACATTAATTTCATACTTTAAACTTGACATAATAATATTACGATTTATAATTTTTTTTGTTATGCAATCAAACATTGCAAGTGTTTATCAGATGGAAGCCTCATGCCGTCTGATGTGTCAGTTGCTGAGCAGATTGCTTTTGTGTTTAGGGCTTAAAGACAATATGAGACAAAACAGCCTTCCCGAGAGGAGAGCAGATGAAAGCAGAAATGAGAGGGGTGGAGGAGAGAGGGAGGTGTTCTGTGGGCGAAGCACACATGCAGAGGAGGACTAATCAGCTCTGTGCAACAATAACAGAAAAAGTGTGCTTCACTACAAATGATTGTGCCACTTAAAAGAACAATTCACCCAAAAATGAAAATTCTGTCATCATTTACTCACCCTCATGAACACAAATGAAGATGTTTTGAGATAGAGCGCATTTGTAGAATTTAATTTAAACACAACATCAATCAGAACTGATTTTGTTACAGTACATGTTGCTGGTCTTGTTGTGCACAATTCATCAGTGTATGTTATTCCAAAGAACAGAACATTTGTCTTCATAATCTTTTATCAAAATGTAGTAATAATAATAAATCAAAAGTAACATGTTATTGATCAGATAATGCATAGTTCAGGACACATTAATGAAGCAAATCAACTCATATCATCAGATCATAAAATTCCTAAGATCACACAGGAATAGTGCTACAAAATATAAAATGCAGACTTTAGGAGCACAAAATGTGAAACCTTTCATACACTAGAGGAGAGATGTGTGAGGTTACTGTTGTCTTTTCCTCAGGTTAAAAAAATCTGCGAAGCTAGAGGCTTCAGAAATGTCTCCATTTGCTCTCCATTTAATATGGATAAATTCATTGCTGTCTGAGAAACATGATATTAAAGGTGAAGTGAATATCGTTGATCATCTCCTAACAAGGCAACATATTAAATTCTGGGTAGATTAGATGATAAGTAAACAATCAGTTCTTGGTATCAAAGTGTTGGATGCAGGAGAAATGGGCAGGAATAAAGATTTGAGAGCCTTTGACAAGGGCCAAATTATTATGGCAAGGTGACTAGGATGGAGTATCTCTAAAATGGCAAGCCTTGTGGTGAGAATTTACCAAGAGTGGTCCAAAGAGGGATAAACTGATGACAGGCCGTTGAGTGCCCAAGGCTTATCAATGCACAAGGGTAACAAACCAATCAGAGTACCTATGATGACCTCCGTCCACTGTAGAAAGTGCCTACAATGGACATGTGAGTGTCAGAACTGGGCCTTGTAGCAGTAGAAGAATGTTGCCTGATCCAATGAGTCCCGTTTTCTTTTACATCACGTCAACAGCCGTGTTTGTGTGCATCGTTTACCTGGGGACATGATGGCACCAGGATGCACTGTGTGACAACAACAAGCCAGTGTGACACTCTGGGCAATGTTCTGCTGGGAAACTCTGGGTCTGGCCATTAATGTGGATGAAAATTTGACACGTGATACCTACAATGGTGTTAACCTGGTGGAAGTGGCCTCTTTCAGCAGGATAATGCACCCTACCAAACTGCACACACTGTTCAGGAATGGTTTGAAAAACATGAAGAGTTCAAGGTGTTGCCCTGGCCTCCAAATTCCCCAGATCTCAATCCAACTGAGCATCTTGGGATGTGCTGGACCAACAATTTCAATCCACAGCAACTCCACGTCGCAACCTACAGCTGGGGCTAACATCTTGGTACCAGATACCACAAGACACCTTCAGGAAGTCCATGTCTCAGCATGATTATACATGACTATTTGCCTCTAAAGAAGAGGACATCATTAAAAAAATGCTTTTGTCTTAACAAACAACATTTGGGCAATGTTACTGGTCTTCAATGTGTCTCTGTGAATCAAAAACACTGATCTCTGCCTCAGTTTCAAGCATAAACCTCGTAGATCATGCACATGGTGGTCAGTTGCACTAAAATGACACATTTTCTAATAGAATGTATTAGTCTAAATACACAGGGAATCTTACTGGCTGAACTAGCAGATGTAGGTCAAATCCTTGAACTAATTTCAGATAAGCACAACAAATATTGTTCTACTGGATGAGATTGAGCAATCACTCCAAACTCCAAAAAGCACATCCTGTAAACCTATTAGATAAACACTAGGAGTAACTATTTCCAGGTTTTTTTCCACACATAGACACACACTCCTTTCCCACATACACAAGAAAACTACGAAGAAAACCCACCACACGAGAAGACTGTTTGTGCTGAAACACCTGCTGGGTCTCTGAAAGCAAATGAAGGTTGTAGGAGATTTTAAAAACAAGCCCACAGCAGGTCAAAGTGGAGAAGCTGAATAATTCATTGAAGAGCCAGCCAGGACTCTCTGCTTCTCCAAGAGCTAAAAACAGACTCCCAACACATGATAGCAGAACAAATCCACAAAACCGCCGGAGAAACACTTCGTGGCTGAATAAGAGAAAAGATTAATAACTCCATTTACTGCATTTCATTTGCATTATCTACACTAACTGCATGTGCTTTACAGGTTTCAATATTTGTTAAGGTTAAAAGGTCAATGCTGAAGATAAGAGGTGTAACTGCTAAAAGTCTTTTGCTTTTTGTCACACACAATGATAGCAAGAGTACGTACTTGCCATTATAGTCCGATCATGAGTGTGTGTGTGTGTGTGTGTGTGTGTGACTCAAAAGATCTATACTAAATGTTATTATAGAGGTTTATGAATGTTACCTTCCCTTAATATTCCTAGACAAATCAAACAAGTTTTGGGTCGTAACAGGCAGTGCTAAAATTCTAAAGATAAAAACTAATAGTGAAACTAGAAAACTGATTATCTTCTTACATAACTATTTTTAAATGAATCCAGTAAGTAGATTTACTTTGGAAATGTTAAAATAGGCTACTACAATTAATTAAAAAAAAAGAAAAAAAAAAGTTATAGAACAAGAATAAACAAAAACTACACTAAAAAAAGGCAAATTAAAAATGTAAATAGACAAAAACAAAACAAAACATTCAGAAGTATAATATGCATGATGCAAATAATATAAAGGGTGGAGAAGGGGAAAGACAGTTTACAAAGGAGACTGATTTTGTCACAGTTAATCCAACAGAAACCATGGTTTATGTGGTTTATGACCTGGTGGCTTGATTCATCTCTAGGACTCTGGTTGGGCAGATTCCTTAATGGTTTTTTACATCTGTTACCTTATCTCCACTGGTTATTTCACCTGCTTGTTGATTCCAGAGAGAGTTTCTTGGCATCACCAGATCTCAAATCGTGGGCCTGTGCTAAAGAGCTCTTTGAATTCAATTCTGTTGTTGAAGAGCCTACAGAGATACAAACACACACTGATATTAGCTACAACCCGCCACTTGTATTCCTCATTTGCAAGTCGCTTTATATAAAAGCATCTGCTAAATGAATACATAAATACATGTAAATGAAACAAACCGTAAACATCATCGCCATTAATGATTTTCACTCTGTTGCACATGACAATATGAACTATCAGTCAAAAGTTTGGACACACTTAACTGAATTTTTTGTGATCAACAAAATGCTCGTTACTCAAACATAAAGCACTTTAAGCAAGATTTCACAATTTAAACAACATTTCAAATAACTTCAGACAACACTGTGACACTCAGACACAAACCTTAATGTCTTTATGTTACTGTTGCAAGTGACGATATTGTAGATTTTCTGAGCCCCAAAGTCCGTGATTCTATTGCCACTAAAACTGAGATCAAACAGAACTGTAACAATGATTGCATTACACTTCAGAAATGTACACTTTGTGTATCTTTCTCAGTCACTCACTCAATGTTTTGCACTTTGTGGAGGTTTGGGAGGAGCAGATCCAGGCTGTCATCGGTGAGACGGCACTGACTCAGATCCAGTTCTGTCAGTCCTTCAGAATATTCCAGAATCAGCTCCAGACCTCTACAGACCTGCAGGTTCAGCTGAGTCTGACTGAGGTCAAGCTCTTTACCCAGAGCTTGAGAAAGAGACTCGGCTTCCTTAGGCCTCACATGAGCCAGAAACTGAAGCAGCAGAGATTTATCACA